TGTAATAATTTAAAACCAGCTTCATCAAGTTGTCTCACACTTATTTCTTTTATCAGACTTTCTTATGATGATGGTTGTATCAATACTTATAAGTATAAGACTGGCATTATTCATGCATTTTTGTATGGTCTGTTTGTTGCCCAAAATAACTATTAAAAAGACTTAATTGAGCCAAAAGGTTTTACTGGGTGACATGATGAACATGGGCACTGTAGTTTATTTTGGGTCAATCCTACATACACCCTCCTGCTGCTGGTAACAGCGCCCAGGAAATCATTTTGCCAAATATATGACCTATGTGAACACATTGTTGGTTTTGGTCTTTTCATACAGATAATAGACAATAATTAGAACTACAAGAAATACAGAATAAAACTAGCCTTATCCTTTAACGATTGTTACGGTTGGGAGTGTTCACATCCTTCTGAAAAAGTAAACTCACATTACATTTGTTGAGCACAGAAGTGTGTCGAAAATTGAAACTTAAACTTTCTTAGTGAGCTGCAGCATACCTTTTTGCTCAAAGTAAAAAGTTTGACGCGAGCAACAGAAACCACATTTGAACATGTCGGACAACACAATGCTCCACGTGGTAACTGGGGGACTTCCCCCAAAAAAACGTGCATTCAGTAGTTCTGATGAATATAAGGCATCGTTACACTTATCAAGATTCAAGAGCGTTAGCTGAGATTGTGCAAATGCATCACATATTAGAGAGAAAAACATAACCAGATGAAGGAGACCAGAATGGTAAGTGAGAACTGTTCGTTGTAGATACTTGCATCCTTCTACATAATAAGCTGTAAACTTTTTTTGAGGGGTTCTTATACTGTGCGCTCTGATACTTCGGCTGAATTCAACGAGGCAGCGTTAATAATCCTATGGGTGACACAAAGGTACTGTTTTCTTTGGCAGTAGTGGTTTCTTTACAGCCATAGAGAGAAAAATGCATTTAATTAACTATATATATATTTTTTTTGTATTTTCACATTTTTTTTAGGCAAGTCATGGTCCCAGGTAGTACAACAGTTTAACTAATGCTGAGCTGAGCAAAGCCCATCAATTTGACGTCATCTGGTAATTCAGATCCCTCAGTTCCAGAGGCCTGAGGAATAAGGAGAGGAGAAGAAGAAGGAGTGAGCAACAAAGGCAGTGAAGAAGAAAGAAGACTCCAGATGCTGGATTTGCAGTTTCAGCTACTACAATGTGGTGTGTTTACAGATAATGACAGATGATTATTATATTGTGTATTTGATTTTAGCTTTAACTGGGCCTTTGTGGCCTTTTCCAGCGTAATCATTGCTCCTCTAGCAAACACATCTGTTAAAAACAAAAAGTGTACTACTCATCTAGATTCAGCAAAACTTCAACCCCCCAAAACACAACCTGTATCACTCACAGATGAAGGTGCAGCACTCACCAGTTTGAAAGTGACATTTTTATTGGCTTGAGGCTCAACTATTTTCTGCAAATTTGCAGCAACTGAAAGAAAGACAATGAAAACAAACACAAAAACATTATGTGCGCTGTATGTTAATGAGAGTAACATGTTAGACAATGTGAGATTACTATCTATTCTAAGAAAAATACATAATATTGTGTGTATGGGCAGAGGAAGGTTTATTTATTTTATTATAATATTTTTTTTAAATCACTGACCTATTACTAAGTCCCTCCCGTCCACCAGGCCGGCTGACACCAGCTCCTGGGACACACCATCTGCTGTGTCTGAAAAGACAGAATAGAAGAAAACTGTGACAGGCGGACAAAAAGGCATATTTAAAATAAAATATATATATTTATCAACAGGGCATAACTGTGGCTTGAACATTTCCACACACAGCTGGTTTTCATCTTGTGTCTGTGTTTCAGCACCTTGTTCTCAGTGCTGATAGATACTGAAATGAGCTGGTTTTGGTTTGTCGGCTGTGATGGAAAGCTGAAGCAGCAAAATAAGTTTGACAAAACACGAGGTATAAATTGTCAATTTCCCCTACTGATTACCCAAAATGTCTTAACCTCAGGACATTTTTTAAACTAAGTGGTGACGCCAGCAAACAGAGGTTGGGTTTTGATTAATACAGGAACTTAACTCACCTCTCCCCAGCATGAATTCAAAGCGGATGTCATTTAGCTCCTTCTTTGAATTTCTGAGGAGATGAAAGAAAGAAGGAGAAGATGGAGGAGAAGAGGAGTTAAGTTTATAATACAGTATATAATACAGTAAAAAACAAAGATACCAGGCACATAGAAGTGATGGAACTGAGACCGACAATTCAACTGCTGGTTTACTGATATTGACGTGGTAATAGGGAAACATACCTTAACCTTAATACCAAACTAATAGGAGCCTTGACATCCCCTGAAGCAGCTTGCACCTGCCAAAATACAGATACAAGACATTTGAGTAGACTGAAAGCTTGAAACAAACAATTAGCAGAAGGAAGTAATATCAGAAAACTCAGTGGTTTGACAAGTTTTAAGCGAGTACGGTGAACTAGACTGACCTGTGTGAGAGTAGCAGCAGGTAGAGCTGGTGTAGCCTGGGCAGTGGGCTGAGCGTTGACTGGCGTGGGCTGCAGTGGGACCTGGCCTGCGGTCGGAGGTAGTTCTGACTGACCTGCCGCCGTCGGCTGGGCTTGACTGCTTAAAGGCTCAGGAGTCTGGAACGCCTGGAGGAGGAATGTCAGGCTTAACATGCAAGTAAATACAAACAGTTATTGGCTTTATTTAACATCAAGGTGACTACTAGATCTTTATTTTACCTGCTGCACTACAGATATGAACAATTAACACACATTAAATCTAAACATGGGCTGCATGTATTTCTACCGCCTCCGCCATGGTGGCCTGTTGTGTATGAAGTGAAGTCCCACCTAATGCTGAAAGGAGGGGCTGGTTAACAGACGCTAAACAGGCGGCATTGTAATTGCTCAGCAAAAATGTGAATTGGTAAATTAATGGTGAGCACTTGCAGAGCGATTACGTTGAACCCGTTTCGAGGCTGCTGCCCGCAGCGTTCCCCCTCAATTCTTGTCCCTAGCAGTCACTTACCCACAAAGACATGAGAAAATCTGCATCAAGGTTGAAAAATACCGGAGTTACCCGTGTCTGACAAAGCACACTGAAGAGTGTGTGAATCACACCACTGTTACAGTAAAGAAATAACTTTAGAAACTCACCTCTGAATTCTGTGATCCCTCCTTTACTCTTGGTGACTGTTAGAAACAGATGGAGAAGATGAGACTCAGAAGGATTTCACTGCGATGGCTTTAGGCAAAGCAAAAACAGCAACGCATTGATGCAAAGAACACACAGGAAGCAGGAGAGGTAAACGGATTAAAACGGCTCACTCCTTTACTTTCCTCATTTATTGCTCCACTAACTTTATCCTCTATGGTGATGCCATTATAGTGGGAAAATAGAGATACCAAATGCTAATAATACTTCAACTACACTTCACTATCTGGTGCCGATATGGCTGGGCGATATGACAGTATTTGGTGATATGAGAAAAATATGTCAACAGTAGGTTTTGCTGAAGTACTGTGATTTGTTGTGTATTTAAATTTCATGGATTAGCAAAAAAAAACAGCCAGTCCCATCTGAAAACATGATCAGATTTTCTGTTTAATTTACAGAAAACTTGATGTCTCCTTATCTATCATGACATAATCTATCACAATCTTATCTATCATTGATGGAATATGTTTTACATATAGCCCGCCTATAGGTAATTATTAGATTTGAAAAGCAGAGAAGCGGCATAAGGGAACACAAAATCAGGAGAAAGTCACACTGTTATATGGTCAAACTGTTTATCTGCAAAATAATAATAATAAAAAAAATGTTTAAACCAACTCCAAGGAGCAAAGAGTCGGACAATGAAGGCAAACTGCTGTCTGACTCAGCGGTTACTGAGGAGACTGTACTGGACTTAAACACACAGGCTCTAGTCTCTCATTAACATGCATCTTTTTCTGGGCAGAAGAGTAATCGTTTCATGTTGGGAGAAAAAAGAAAAACATGCATTCTTTGAATTATTAACATTAGTTTGTTTTGAGATAAAACATCCAGTGGAGCTGGTGTAAGAATTGATAGTTCAGTTTGCCAACAAGTAGCCAGTAAAGAAGAATCAAAGCAGAAGGGACGTGGGAACATTTGGAATCCCTCGATGATCATTAGTGTTCCAATTGAACATTTACAGGGTTGATCAGTAATTTGCCTTGTATTGATTAAATGTGATTTGGTCAGTATAAATAAAACGTGATTTAGAAATAGAAATAGAAATACAGATGGCTTCCAGGAAAGGTGACTCTCACTCCTTTGATTAAATAATGCTCCCTACTTTTAAACGGCTAACAAAAAGTGGTACCTGACAATTTTCCTTTTTCCAAATTTTTTAGAAAATACATTGTGGAAAAGGTTCTGCATGTCATACATATCTAGTTATGTGGGCACAAACTCCTTTACATCACATGAGACACAACATACCCCACTGTTTAAAGAGGAGCTTACAGCACTGACTAATTGGTCCTGATGAGGTTAACTTCGACTCGCATGTGATCTACAGCATGCACAGATCTCTGCTTACTGTCGAAATGATGTTGTCAACCTTTCCTTTCTACAAATCAATGGCATAACGTCATCTTGTAATTACAAGGTTTGTGTAAAGTTACATAATGCTACATAAACACACTACAATCCGGAGGATCAGAGCCTAGCTGTGTGCCGATTTACTTACTTTAGTATCTGTATAACTATAGTATCTGAGGAAAGCTAACTACAGCCCTCAGTCTAACAACAAGGCGTTTAGTGGTCACGTGTTCCCTAGCTATCATGTGCAGTGAGAGTCCTTCCTTGTTAGGGGAATGCCATCTGTATTGTGGTGGCAAGTGAACAACCCTGGACGTAGGCAGCTCGAGTGGGTAGGCGAAGCGCACTTGTCGCCTGCTGGCATTAACAGGCTTCACCTGCTGCTCCTTGGCCATCAGACAGAACACACACACACACACACACACACACATACACACACACACACACACACACATGGGAGACTCAGTGGAGAGACAAAAGGACAGACATGCTACTGCACAGACATGAGAATGACAATTTAAACATTGTACAGCGATTTAAAGACAGGACATTTATAGTGTGACAAAAGGTGTTAATAAGAGCATGTGAGGGAACAAAACAACTTGTAGGTTCATCTCACCCGTAAGGCCGCAACGGCTGCTTTGCCCTCTTCACTTTCCTCATCCAGCTCATCATCACTCCATTCCCATTCGCCATCCTCCGTTTTGTGCAGCCGACCACTGGAACCCGGCACTCGGCGTACCTGACGACACATACGCGCAAAAACTGAGCTCATCTTCTTGGCAATAGAGCACAACGTGTAGATTCAAAACACTTTGACGTCTTACCCTTTTCGACCTCTCTGTTATTGTGGGCGCCCTCTGGAGCAACCGCTCATGTAAATACTCATGGGTCTGTTATAAGAGGAAAGAAACAAATGGCTGTCACTCCAAAATCCTCTTTATCTGTATATTCTGTATCCTGCCTTGTAATACTCAGAAATTGAACTGCGACCCATAATGTGTTTCGCTACACTGGCTTTCTGTCAAACGTAAGATGTAATTCAAAATCCATCTAATTACTTTTAAAGCCTTTCACAACTTGGCTCCATCATATGCTGTACCAGTGAGGCGCCGACCCCGTACAGGTCAACTAGGCCTCTCAGGTCATCACAACAAGGGCCCCTGGTTGCACGGCGCTCAAAGTGCGGTGGTGACCAAGCGTTAGCTGTCCTGGCTCCCAGGTTATGAAAGTCTCCCACTGATGCTCATGTCAGTACATGTTTTAAATCTCATCTCAATACCTATTAACTCTAAGTGGCGTTCAATTAATGCTGCCTTACCTCTTAACAGTTGCTGCTTATCTTTGATTTGATTATTCATTCAAATACTTCTTACAGTCTTTTTTTAGTTTGGAGCCCTGGTTTGATTAAGTGGTATATAAATAAAGTGTTCGCTTACTTTAAACCATTATATTCCCATTGGAACAGTCAGTGGGATTTTCAAATATAAGTTTATATATAACAAGTGAGCAGATTTCATCAACAGAATAGTGAATAAATAATCATATGCTTACTTGATAGCCATTTAAATCCCTTCTGCAGGCTCACAGGCCCAAAGTTTGCTGATTTACACAAGAGATGAATCTGCCCTCCGCTGTACATTACAGAGTACTGCAGTTCTTGAGTCATGTATCGGATTGTATTTGGGCAGTGTGACATGCTGAGCCAGCACTCTAGTTGTACCGAGCCTTACTCACTCACACATCTCTGTATTGTTTTATTTAAATCTCTTGATGCATCACTAACTCTTTTTTCTCTTACACTGAACCCTTCTACAATCATTACAAAACTTCAGGAGCTAAAACAGAACCCAACCTGCAGTCATTAAGAGCAGCTTAATATTAAACAGAGGCCATTCAGTTCACTTCTTCACTCATCAACCAGCTCAACTGGTGCCTGAAACAGGGATGATGCTGCCTCACTGTGTAACTCATCGAGTGTCGGGCCCAGAGGGCACCTACCTTTGCTTTCTGAAAGAATTTATGCTTCAACAACTCTGAGGATGTCGGCCTGAAAAGCAGCAGAATGACAATGAATTTCTGTTCATTTGAGCTTTTATACTCCCAAGAATAGAAAGGAAATGTGCAATACATGTTAACCAGAACCAGGGAAGCTCAGTGAAACAAAGGGACCTGTGGTCCGAACAATGAAAGCAATCACATGCTGCTGTGCTTAACATGTGCCGAGTAGTCTAAATCAGTTCCACGAACCGTAAATTATGATTGCACATGTCAAATGTTCTTATTTTTGCAATTAGCACATATTTACCATACTGCATATATGAGGAAAAGAAACATTGATTAAACCTATCTACTGGAAGCCAATGTAAAGCGTTACGTGTTAAATGAAACTCTAACACAATCCACACCTTTTCTCTGGGTCCTTCTGTAGACACAGGGAGACCATCTTCCTGAAGGATTTGCCGTATTTCTTTACAATCTCCTTGTCCGTGATGCCCGTGTCCAGGCCTGGGGGGTCATTCTGCAGCGTCAGCATCAAGACCTGAAGACACCAGAGACACTCTTTGGTCAAAAAGTCACAAAACGTTAGTGTCTCATCAGAGAGTCAAGAGGAACTGACTTTGCATTTGTTCCGTGTCATTAACTCCACATTTGAAGGTAAGCTAGATTTCTCCACAGCGCTCTCACCTTCATTGGCGGGTATTTGTGATACGGTGCGGCCCCCGTGGCGAGCTCGATGGCTGTGATCCCAAAACTCCAAATATCTGCTTTGAAATCGTAACCCCTCACCTGTGGACGCAGAGTCAGATATCATCTTTGTATTTCAAATATCAAAAACATTCACTGTGTTCATGGAAGACTTTTATTCACTCTCGGAGGCCAGACCGTTCTTAGGATGGAAATGTGCTAATTTTCAGAATTTAAAGTCACAAGTAATCGGGCGCAGGTGTCTTATTGTATTGTCGCTGAGTGCTTAATTATAGGAGAGATGCTAATATATGGCTACAGGCCTCGGATTTCTACAAAAGTGTCAAAAAAAACAAAACTTCATTGCCACCAATTAATAATGAAATGTCTGTTCCTCGCCTGCTAAGACAAAATTGGATCTGATTGTGAGTTTTCTGTTGCTCTGGTCTAAAGATGACGAACCTGCTCCATGACCTCTGGGGCCATCCAGCACGGCGTTCCCACAAACGTCTTGCGCACTTTATTTCGAGTCATGTCACCTCCTGTGGCTAGAAAGGCACTGACGCCAAAGTCTGAAGGGAGGGGAGGGGGAGAGAGAGAGAGAGAGAGAGAGAGAGAGAGAGAGAGAGAGAGAGAGGAGAAATAAAATTAGATGAACACGCACACAAAGGACCCAAAGCAGTGAGGTATTGTCAAGGGGTTAATTGCCCTCCACGGAGTAAGCCTCCTGTGCTTTAATACACTGGATCTAATGGGGGTGAATGAGGTTTCTTCACACCTCTGGGCCACTAGACAGGTGCAGAGTTGCCTCGTGGTTAAATACCTGCAATTTGCACTGAACCGTCGTCCCCGAGGAGAATGTTTCCAGCCTTAAGATCTCTGAAAGACAAGACAAGAACTTTTACAATGAAAAAAGCAGAATTATAAACATCTAGATCTAACGAATAGGCTTTAAAACTTGCACTCCGCCAATCAGGGTTTCTATTTCTTATTGGCAACACACACACACACACACACACAGACACACACACACACACACACACACACACACACACACACACACACACACACACACACACACACACACACACACACACACACACACACACACACACACACACACACACACACACACACACACACACACAGCGTAGTTAATTTGTTCATCCCTGTTCAGCCTCCCCTGGTGGTGATTAGAGGATTCAGCAGGGACGTCTGTCCGTCCGTCTGTCCGTCAGTCTGTCAGTCTGCACCTCACCAGCCAGACAGTTGTCATAGCAACAGACTTTCAGAGATAAAGTCGAAGGGTCAAGTGAAAGGCAAGGAAATTAAAAAAGTAAGGATGGCAACAGTGTCACAGCCGGCTCCTTCTGCTGTCCACGTGGAGTGAACGTACATATTAAAGAGAGAATAGCCAGAGTGGTACAACCCCAGAACACCGTCATCGCCATCACACCACCTTCAACAACTTCTAACAGATGTGTATAAATCACCCCGAGACAGATGTTACATCTGTACTGACAGACAAATTATTCAAAAAGAGTCTACATTGCTACCAGATGGGGGCGCTGGTGTACAAAACATTCAGCTTGAGCTGAACCGTAAGTGCAACAAATTGGTCTCAATGAACATAAAAAATAAGAGGAGTCTTTGGAGTACTGGTTTAGAGATGAGACATGACTCAGCTTCCAAAAAACAAAGGCTCACTTTACCACTTTCTTTGGGCGTATAAGTCAATCCACACAGACCTTAAACACAAGCCAAATACCAGAAACACGGGGGGGTTGGAAAGATTATTGTGCCACTAAGACAAGAATACTGCTGAAGCAAGCTGTTTTTGTGTTTTAAATGCATGGTGGAACTTCCCCTGGATCCCCATGAAATATATTACCTGGGCTCCTGAACTTTCTTTTTTTCTGAGGTTTTGCAGCAAAAATGTGGAGGACGTCAAGGACGCAGTTTGGTTTAAAGCACTCCTTCTAGGTAGTTACAAGCAACCCACTCAAGACACACAATGTGCTCAAGAGTTTGCGGGTCGTAGTTCAGATCTTTGTTGCTGAATACTTGAGAGTAGACTAGAGGCCTCTTTTGCTCCAGTGAAATACAACAGCTCATGTAGCGACAGGGAGTGGCAAACAGTGAGCCACGGAGGCAGGAATGCAGCATATGTGACATATTAGGACCAATGGCTGAAATCAAAACACTGATATTCCCACTGCGGGGATGATGAAAGTATCCAGAAGCAGATTGGGATACTACACAGGACAGGGTTTTAGTTGACTGTATCAATGCCTTGAGAGATGTTTTATTAATCGGCTGAGGCAGAAAGAGCTGTCTGGGTTCTGGGCTCTAATGCACCTTTCTGTCTGAACAAGTTCTATTATGTAACTGTCACACTGGAGTGGACGAAAGAAACGGACATGACAGCCTTTGCTAGTGGCCTTTGAAAGTAGTAAAATGTCTACTCGGGGTACAGACGTCTGTGCTCTGCGGCTCTCCGTCTTTGTCCCTCTGCTGCCCTGACATAACAGCGAGGTCATATCAGGTCACAGTATCTTCCAGTTTCTTGCTCTCCCCACTTCTGCTTAAATTAGCAAGCTCACGCTCCACCTTGGGTGTTGGTTCTTACGAGGGTGATTTACGTCGGGTAATTTGAGAAGTTGCTTTTTAAGGATTTAGAGGTGCAGAGTTGACCACCTGAGGTTGGAAGACAAATTTGGGAATATCCCAAAATACTTTTTCCTGGTTTACACAACCCTCCGTCCCCTCTCTCAGTGGGTCCAGTCATGTCTTCATGTCTTGTGATTTAGCCTGGGCTAATAATGTGCTGTATTTTAATGAGCTATTCTGGATTCAGTCCAAGCCAATTGACCACTCGGGGCCACGTCACAAGATCTGCCAACTCATCATCTCACTTTCTGCATTTGTCCAAAGACTAGCTGTAGGATACATGTCAGAAAGTTGATTTTTTTTTGACAGTGAAAGTCAAATACCTACCAAGATTAAGGATTATGTTATGTGAGGTCATGGCAATAAATCCAACAGCTGTTAAGATATTCCACACAAAACCACAAACGGGCCTCCTGGAAGAACCAGATGAAAGTCATCAGAAGACATATGTTGAAGTTGTTAAATTAATTAATGAGTGACTTTTTGAGCTCAAAGAGTTTTATGTGAATCAAGAGCTTCAAGCCATTAAACAGAACTATTTTACCACCATTGCATCGTCAAGAGTTATTTCCTGTATGTCTCTCTATGACATAATCAGCTTGTTAAAATTCACAAGTTAAAAACTAACCTCTAAGAAACAATAAGTCACTCTGAATGATGCAGCTTTGTGCGTCGTCTCTCAGGAAAGGAGTGATCAAGGCGATCTGATTGCGTCCCTCCTGCGTCTTTAAAGAACCATGAAGGCTTTGGCTCTCTGCAGCAGACTGTAACGCTCTGCAGAGTGCAGACAGTCATTAACATTCACAGGAGAGGAAGAGGAGGAGGCGGGAGGAGGTGGTGACACAATGCACCATGCAAGTTCAAAGAAATACTGTCGCGGAGAGGAATAAAGCCAAGTCCCAACTCCTACTTGGGCTCCAGCCATATCTTACAATAGCTTATTTCTGCTCGTTAAATGACATTAAAGCGCATCAAAAATGAATCCGACACTAAAAAAGGTATTATGGCATCAAAGAATATTGAAAAATGAACGTGTGACAGCCGGGCAGTAGCCAGGTGGGAACAGCTACGGCATGAAACTGTCAAGAAGATTGATCTTTCTCATCTGGCAGCTCCCGCACCTTGCAGCTCCGGCGGGTCACCTCCTGTGACATCACATCCTGGTGCCGGGCTCCCAGTGCCCCTAACGGGGCCGTAAAAAAAGAGGGCTTACGAGACGCTCTGTCCCCGTGAGACGGAATACCTCCCCCTCTTTTAACCGTGCCCCCTTTGACCACAAAAAGCATGTTGCCTTTGCTCCTGTTATTTTAATTGCTTTTTTTTCCCAAAACTGCTGAATTTCATTCTCATCTATTTTTCCAAATCAATTTTTTTATTTCGTCAATTTTCCGTTTGAATCCACAGCAAGAGACGATGCCAGACGCTCCCGGAGGCGGCATAACCGCAGCCATTACCGGATCATTACTAAACTACACGCCGAGTAATTTGCCGAGCAGAGCCCTCCCCCATGTACCCTCAGAAGACTTGTGAGGTTTCAGAGACGAGTGAGGCGAAGCGCTCCCCACAAAGCAGGCGGATTTTCTAAGATTCCTCTGTTATGGTGTCTACCTGCTGCTCAAGTTAGAGGAACAGTGTCACCTTTGAATCACCGACTCTCCGAGCTGCTGTGAATGTGGAGGTGGAGCAGTTCGCCGTCTTGTGGTAAATGTCTGGTCGAGGCTACAGCCCGGCCCGCGAGACTCTAATTGCTTTTTCTGCTGCCTTGGACTGGATGGAACATATCACGTGACACTATGTCTCTCTCTTTCTCCCTGCCCCGTCAAGCCTCA